ATGAGGCCCTGGGGGTGGGTTTTGGGGTCTCCCCATTTTGGGGTCCCTCCCCCGTTTTGGGTTCCCCCCCATTTTGGGCTCTCCCCATTTTGGGGTCTCCCAATTTCGTGGTCTCTGCTCGGGGCTGTGCAAATCGAAGGCGACCAAAGGCGGGTGCTGGGGGGGGGGGACCCCGGGCTGGGGACAGGGACGGTGGCACCGGTGGTGGCACCATCACAGCGGTGGCATCGTCACCTCGGGACCTGTGACAGTGGCGGTGGCACTGCTGGTGGCACTGGTGATGACACTGGTGCTGCTGGTGGCGTCCTTGGTGGCACTGGTGGTGGCACTGCTGGTGGCACTGGTGCTGCTGGTGGCATCCTTGGTGGCACTGCTGGTGTCCTTGGTGGCACTGCTGGTGGCATCCTTGGTGGCATTACTGGTGGCACTGATGGTGGCACTGCTGGTGTCCTTGGTGGTGGCACTGGTGGTGCTGGTGCTGCTGGTGGCATCCTTGGTGGCATTACTGGTGGCACTGCTGGTGGCATCCTTGGTGGCGTTACTGGTGGCACTGATGGTGTCCTTGGTGGCACTGGTGGTGACACTGCTGGTGGCATCCTTGGTGGCACCAGTGGCGTCCTTGGTGGCACTGGTGTTACTGGTGACAGTTCCATCCCCACTGGTGGCACCGGTGACAGTTCCATCCCCAGTGACTGTCGGTGGCACCTGCACTGGCACCATCCCACTGGTGGCACTGGTGTTACTGGTTCTATCCCCACTGGTGTCACTGGTGTTACTGGTGAAAGTTCTATTCCACTGGTGACACTGGTGACAGTTCCATCCCCATTGGTGGCACTGGTGTTACTGGTGGTGGCTCCATCCCCACTGGTGTCACTGGTGTTACTGGTGACAGTTCTATTCCACTGGTGACACTGATGTTACTGGTTCCATCCCACTGGTGTCACTGGTGTTACTGGTGGTGGTTCCATCCCTGGTGACAGTCTCAGTGTCCCCCATGAGAGTCCCGGGGGTGTCCCCAAGGTGTCCCGGGGTGTCCCCGGGTCGTCCAGGCACGTGGTGACAGTGACAGTCTCGGTGTCCCCGGGGTGTCCCCAGGGTGTCACAGGCACACGGTGACAGTGACAGTCTCAGTGTCCCCAGGCTGTCCCTGGGCTGTCCCCGCGGTGACAATGCCAATGTCACTGTCCCTGTCACTGTCACACACTGAGCTGCTTCCCGAGCTCCCCCTGCCCTGTGACACCGGCACGGGGTGACAGTGACACTGCCGTGTCCCAGGGTGTCTCAGGCACGGGGTGACAGTGTCGGTGTCCCCGCGGTGACAATGACAGTGTCCCCAGGCTGTCCCCGCGGTGACAGTGACAATGCCAATGTCCCTGTCACAGGCACACATTGAGCTGCTTCCCCAGCTCCCCCTGCCCTGTGACACCGGCACGGGGTGACAATGACAGTGACAATGTCACAGGCACACATTGAGCTGCTTCCCCAGCTCCCGCTCCAGGTCCCCGATCAGGGCATCGAAGTCCTTGAGGGTCAGGCGGGGGGGCCCAAAGGTCACCTCGGGCTCCTCCCCCCCCAGACCCAAATCGGACCCCGAGAGGTTCCCGGGGGGGCTCCCGGGGGGGTGTCCGGCCGGTGGCCCGGGAGGGGTCCCGGGTGGGGTCCGGGGTGTCCCCCCCACGTCGCTGTCCCCCCAGGGAGTCCCGGGTGGGGTCCGGGGTGTCCCCCCCGCCCCATCGTTCTCCCCCACGGGGGTCCCGGGTGGGGTCCTCGATGTCCCCACGCAGTCCCTGCGGGTCCGGGGGTGGGTGGTCGGTGTCCCCCCCGTGGCGTGGGGGGTCGGCAGCATCAGCCGGGGGTCGCGGGGGGGGTCGGGTGGTGTTTCCCCCGCGGCGTGGGGGGTCGGCAGCATCAGCCGAGGGTCGCGGGGGGGGTCGGGCGGTGTCCCCCCCG